TTTTTAAGGGTTTCAGGGCTCAGGGCTTGAGGTTTCTTTTAAGGGTTTCAGGGCTTGAGGTTTTTTTTAAGGGTTTCAGGGCTCAGGGCTTGAGGTTTAGGGTTTGCATGGCCTTGAGACTAACCCTAAACCCTAAACCCTACGTAAACCCTATCAATATCTAGAACCCATGGCTTCGGGCTCGGGAGGTCCTGCTTAGAGTGTTCGGCCTGGTTTGCCTTCAGGAACAAGCTTCTGTAGGGGTTTAGGGTTTAGGGTAACTATAACTTAAGGTATACCTTAGCCCCAAATAACCTACCTTCTTAGGGACTTATGTAAAGAAACCATATTAGGGGGCCCTAAAAAGGCAGGTTCCGCAGGGTCTAGGTATTCCTTAATTGAGGGATATTGGCGTCGCTGCAGACTTCAGGGCTTAGGCACAACCCCCAGCCGGGATTCGAAGAGTCCGAGGCCGATGGAATCTTTTCAAGATCCCTGTACCCTAAGCCCTCAACCCTAAACCCTAAAACATCCTAAAAACCCTCAAAACCCTCAAAACCCTAAAACCCACCAAAACCCCCAAAAACCCCCAAAACCCTAAAAACCCTAAAAACCCAAAAAACCCTAAACCCTAAACCCTAAACCCAGGGTTTAGAGTCGGTTCTGGAGGGTTTCTCTCATTCTGGCGAGGCATGAACCGATGCGCCAGCCCATGTTAAACAAGGCGTCATGCATGATTAGGCCACTTCGCCTTTCCGCTTGTGGGTTCGGGTGTCGACTGGATATGAAAATCCTGAAGCCCTCACATAACCCTCTGAAACCCATGTACGACCCAATGAACCGTGTTGTGGCACAGCAAGACCCGTGGAGGCTGTGGAAATTGCTATCGGCCATAACGGGACCTCTCCAAGGGGATGCTTGGAGGCTCCAGTCGACAAATGTTGCGATAAACTCAGCCGTCTGAAGTTTGAGTTTAGGACTTAGGGTTTAGGGCCTAGAAATTGGAGTTTGGGGTTGAATAGGGTTTAGGGTTCAGCAGGGTTTAGGGTTGTGGGTTTGGCGATCAGGGTGCGTACATGAAAATTAGACCAGCCCATTGTCTGTCTCGTGCATGGGTATGTCCATTCTGTCGCATGCCTCAAGATCACAGGAAGCACAGCATACCCGGAAACAAACTTGCTTTGTGCTAGCCTGTCCTTTTCACATTCAAGCCGCCCGGGTTGGTTCGGGAAGTTGGAACATGAGCATGATCCCGAAGGTTCTGATTTCTATGCTGTAATTACGACGTTCTCACCTGTTGGCTAAGCCGTTTCGGGCATTTGGCTCAAACACAAGCCGGCATGGCAATAATGGCAAAGAAATACAGCACACAGCCCATCATCACATAGGTCCTGCCGAGGTCGCCAAGACTTGGTGCGGGAGAGTTCGGAAGCGAGGTCATGCTTACAAATTCGACAGAAATTCTGCAAGGCGTGAGCCCCAAAACCTTACCACACGTGGCATAACCAGTACAACAGTTAGGCCGAACACAAGTGGGATGTCGCCTTGGGAAAGAGGCTCACCAGTATGGTAATACTTGAGGGCCGGGATTGTAGAGGACCCTCGTAACCGTGCAGGCAGACACTCTCAAGACTGAAAACCTAAACCCCGGGGGTTTAAAAAGGGTTAGGGTTCAGCATCCTGGTGTAGAGGCCCTCATGTATTTGGTGTATAGAACTATGACTACATAGGCGGCTACAACAGGATGCCATTCAGACTCCTCTGAGCCAGACTGCCGAGATACCCTAAAACCCTAAACCCTAAGCCCTAAACCCTAAGCCCTAAACCCTGGAAATCTGAAGGGTACAGCGCGGATGCTTAGCCGAGAACATCGAAGCAGAAACCCTGCATAGCGATCGATGAGCCTAAGGTGCAAGGACTGGCCCACAGAAACGAGGAGTCTTACAACCTGCACACTGAACACCTAAAGGGCTAAAGCCCAAAAGCCACAAAGCCTAAACCCCAAACCCTGAACCTAAACCTGGACACACCCTATCCAAAACGGTATGTAAACCGAGGCAATATGTGAGCTCTTTTTTCCAACCCTGGCCAAGCGGAGGATCTTCGCATCACCTTAGCGGTAGCGGTAGCAGGAATTCGTCTTTTGTTGTTAACTCTTGAAGCACGTGGATCCGATTGCATTGTGAATTTGGATTCAGGCTTTCCTAATCGAATCTAACTCTTATCCAAAGTGTGCGCTTATCCCTGGGTCTCCTCCAAAGGAACCCTATCATGGTATCCAAGAACAGAGCCTTGAAAGGAAATCTAAGGAACCCTATTTATAGCACCAAGCAGCCTTACTACAGCACCCTCTTATGGTACCCTTTAAGGGAACCCTATTGTAGTACCCTATGAAAGTACCCCATGATAGCGCCCTTTAAAGGAACCCTCCCTTTTTTGGTCTTGCTGTCTTGCTACCCACAGGCCTTTACGGCTTCAGTTCGGGGAGTCCGGAAGGGGGAAGGGGTTCACCCTCAACCCTGAACCCTTTAGGGTTTGGGTTTAGGGTGTAGGGTTCGGTTTAGGGTTTAGGCTTTTGGGGTGTAGGGTTTAGGGTGTAGGGTTCGGTTTAGGGTTTGGGGTGTAGGGTCTGTTCTGTAGGACTTCAGGATTTGGGCTTTAGGGCTTGGGGCAGGGGTAGAATGGGGTTCGTTCAAAGGAGTACATCACAGCTTATAAGGGGACTGGGTGGATACAGGTACTCTTTATTCCCACCTCTATTATCGGGTGGGTGCCACATATTTCAAATTATTACCGGGCTTTCAATAGTAAGGTTCCGATTTGGTGTCGTTCTAAGGTCCTCGACTTTCTGAACTCGCACAAAAAAAAATCATACTGGGAACCCTCAAAAGAAGCCCTCAGGGAAACCCAGAAACCCTTACGAGAACCGCTAGCGGAACTCATATTCCTTCCAGGAACCCTCGACGGATACCATGGAGGCGCTCCTGATCCCCAAACATGGAACCCTTACAGGAACCCCTACAGGAACCCTTAAAAGCCAGACAGACCCTAAACCGTCAAAGACCCACAAAGGCCCCTTGGTTCTGGGGTTTAGGGTTTCGGGTTTAGGGTGAACACTACACCCTAAACCCCAAACCGCTAAACTCTAAACCCTAAACTCGCCCTCAACTAACACTCTCAACTCCTTAACCCCAGATGCCAAACCTGCCCCCGACACAATTCCGAATCTCCCTCCCCTGTGCTTTACGAGGGACGCAAGAACCAGGTGTAAGCTCACCTGGGTGCGTTGATGAGGTTGTGTCTACTGTAGGGCCCTTAATACTTAGGCTAGGGTTTCGAGGCCCGCTATTTATACTATACTGATGATAACGACCCTCCAAAATAGTATTCCTGTTCCGGTTCCTGTTCGGACTGTCGTGCCTATACAAGCGCGTCCCAAAATTGCTACTCCAAAATAGTATTGGAAACTATTTTGGCCCCTCGAGTAGCCAACTATGCTTGCCGGGCTAGGCTTGGCTTGGCTTCGGCTGTCTCTGGCGGTGGGAAGCCCTGTGATCTTCCTAAGGGGCTCTAAGCTGATTTACGAAGTCTCCTATGCCAGGCCCAATCGACCGGAAACCCTAAACCCTCAACCCTAAACCCCGGAACCTTAAACCCCTAACACCCCTGAAACCCCTAGTCCCCTAAACCCCTAAACCCTAAACCCTAAACAAAGCACAGACTAGCCGTTAGGGCTCGGACATGAGGCCTGGACTTCGCGGGATTACCGTGGTTTGGGGTGTTACAGGATTGAGTATAGCCTAAACCCTAAACCCTTTTGTAAGGCTCCGATAAATAATTCGAACTCTGAGTTCATCTGTGCTGCTATTTACACGGAATCGGCAAAGGTCTGTGTTAGGGTTTAGGGTTTACAGTCGTGGGTTTAGGGTTAGCTAGCAAAGCCTAAAACGAAAGCTCAAAGCGAAAAACTTGAACCCTTTTAGCCCTTGAAGCAGGTATCCCATGCTACCCAGAACCCTCATACTGTACTATACTACGCTATACTGTTTTCTATACTATACTATACTACACTATGCTCGACTACTATGCTGCACCATATTCTACTATACTTTACCTTATTTTACTACCCAGAGCTCCAAAAAAAAGCCTGACTCAACCCAAGACACGACCTTCTTTGTCCCGCCGAACACCTGAAGGAAGGTGCACTAGAATGGTAATATAGGGGCCTCAACAATTACCTATACTATTTTTGAGGTTCCTAATTGAAACTATAGTGTAATGGAGCCCAAAACCCTATTCCAATTTTGAAGGCCCTACGTTGCAGGGCTACAGGCTTTGGAGTTGCGGCCGGTGGAGCGCTTTAGGGTTTAAGCTTTTGTTAGGTTTCGGGTTAGGCTTTCGTGGTTTTCGTGTTGGGTATGCAGTTTCTCGGATCCGTTTCGGGCTACACCTATAGCAAGATCGCAGCTTGCAGAGGGGACTCTAGACAGAAGCCGCACGGCTCTGGGTGTAGAGCTGGTGAGCCAGCTTAGGGTTCAATGTAGTAGCCGATGTACACCAACACCCTGTTCTCATTGTTGGGGCCCCAAACCCTCAAACCTGAGCCCCTAAACCCTTCCGTAGCCGTTTTTTGGCGGAGGGTAGAACCTTAACCCCAGAAACGTTCTGCCCGAAGTGCAAAGCCGTAAAGTTTCACCGCAGGAGCCCACTCCCCGACCTCTTCCCTGAGCCCTACTAATCCCAAACCGAACTTAAACTGAAAGCCGAAAATTACCAGCCCGAACCCTAAACCTCAAAAGCTCCAACCCAACTCTTAAGCTCTACCCTACACCCACCGCACTAAGACATAGACCTCGAATCTGAACCCAAACAGCCCTCACAAGCTCAACACCAAGCACCTGCAAAGCGCAAAAAGCTTAAGGTCTGGGGCTTTTTTTTTTTAAAAAAAAAAAGTGTGTTGGGGCCTTTTCTCGCAAGAGTCCCACCCAGTGTTTGGGCTCACACTACATAAAATACCCATCTCACTGCTCAGATTGCTCGAACTTTGCATTCCGCGACTCCACACGACGACGACGATAGTAGCGACCAACTTGCCGACGACGAGGAAAATTTCCTTCATCGACTGGAGGCTCACCCGTGAACACATCATAGGGCTGACGACGAAGAACTGCACCATGAACGACTCCAAGGTCCGAGGCAGAAGCGGCAGCAGTAGAGAAGGCACCCTCGTTCATGACAGACAACGTGGTATCCTCGGATGTGTACCCTTCCTGCAGCATAATGTCTGGACCATCCTGTTGAGATCCTGCAACTTGCGGAGAACGGAGCCCTTCTGGTCGACGATCATCTTCCGGCGAACCTGGTTCTTCAGGTGAATGTGCTGCTTCCGGCGAAAGTACACCTACAGGAGAAGGAAGACCATCAGGAAGAACACCACGAGGTACACCAGGACCATCACGATGTGCATCACGGCTTCTGCTACGATTTCTCGTTCCAGTCAGAGACACAGTTGGTGCCGCAGAGCTCATCCCCATCTGAACACCATCAACCATTTCCAGCAGGGGGTTTACCTGTGTTGGCATCCGGGTCGGAACTGGCCGAGGAAGACGTCCACGTCGCCGACCAGCGATGGTAACAGAACTCAAGGACGGCCTGGTTGCTGAAGCTGGCCAGTTATCGACTTCCTGCTCCAACGACTGTTGCACCAAGAAGAGGTCTCGGTCCTCCTCTGCCGGCCAGTTGCCCCGCGGGCTATCACGACCAAGAGCACGATATAACTCATGGATATGTAGCCTCCAAGCTCTTCGACGATAACCAGCAGCGACATGATCAGGTATCCCAGGAAGGGCACTCCGTAGTTCATCAACGTCACGTGGGAGGCCAGGCTGAAGCACCACACTGGGATCAGTGACCCAGTGAGTCGGGCGATCAGGGGTGGCGGACGATCCGTGAGCGACTTGCCTCGAAACCTCGCCCCACACCACGCGATCGGCGATGCCCGCATTGAGAGGAAGAGCCGACTCCGGCAACTCCACCCACTGCAGTGCCTCCTCAACAGCATCAAGGAGTAGACGCGAGCAGTGTTGCATGTGACGACACCGACGAAGGAGACGTCGGAGGAGCTCCAAGGTGTCCGCGCGAGTGCATAGTGCCAGGGCATTGTTGGTGGCATTCCTGACGATATCGGCGGGCATCACTTGTGTACTCGTTGACGTCGAGGTCAATGTCCATTGGTCACCCGGCTCGAGGACGAAAGACTCCTGCATCAGTTCAAGACCATCAGCTTCTGCGTCCCCAAATGTGGAAGTAGAGGACAAAGCCAAAGTCTCCCCAGTGATAGAGGTCAAGGTCGTAGTAGACGGTCCAGGCTCCTCTTCCGGTTCTCTCCAAATACCCATAAGTTCCGTGGGTGCCAGGGGGTGATTCACTGGTTGCGGAGGAGGGGGACCGAAAGGACCCGGTCCAGTCTGTGGCGGCACTTCAACTAGTACTCCATGTTCATCAAGTGCATGCGACGAGTCCATTGAATAGGGCTCACCGTCCGAGGAGGCCTCCAAGTCGACGCTGGCACTGCGTGCAGAGTCATGCCCCGACATGTCTTCGTTGATCTCCGAGTTGGCAGGGTTCCGTCTGGGCGATCTGGACACCGAACGACTTGCTCTCGCTGGCGAAGCTGGGGCGTCCCGTCGGCGACGCATGTACGGGATGACGATGACCGGACGATCGGTGGATGAGGCCGCCCCGCCAGACCTGCCTAGCCACCCCATGCCAGCAGCGCTCTCAATTCCACCTTCGGACTCATGAGAACGAAGGTGTTCATCAAGATCAGGTGGTCCAAGCGGCGTCTGAAGTTGTCCTTGGACCGCTTCTTGTACCACCTGTGAAAATTGCCTCGCCCACGTCCACCAGCGTTCACAATCGCGGTCCGTAGCAGGTACCCGACTGACAGGCCAGAAGCCACGGACCCTCATTCTCCGTTCGAGGATGCCAAGGAGGCGGTCAAGCAACTCGCTGAGGCCATCACACCGACGAAGTGCACATCGAAGCCCCCATCGCGATTCAGGCCCAAGACCTCGTTCTTGGAACTCGTCCAAGCATTCCATCAAGGCCTCAAGCCTCTGCATCTGCACTTCCCTGAGCCCAGCTTCTTGAAGGGAGGCACGCTCCGAGCCTGAGAGCTGCATGAAGGTCACATCCTCAGTCTCCGTTCCCATCACCGACGGGTCTTTGGACAAGGAAGGCTCTCTTGTGGAGGCACTGGTTGGAGAGGCAGATCCCAAGGGGCAGGGTGAGGAGGAAGATCGGCTGGAGGAGAAAGACGAGGAGGACCAGGTAGTCCAGAACGAAGGCATAGGGCAGAAGGTCGACTGGGACGACGATAAAGGACAGGATGTAGCCAAGCCCTCAAAGGAAACCCTGCGCGACGACAAAGAGCATGATGTAGGCGGGCTCGTAGTCGAACAGCTCCAGGAAGTGATAGTCGGGCTCGTAGTTGAAATCGCCAAGGTCGTAGCCAATCTAGTGGTAGTCAGCACGTCAACGAAGAGTGTGAGATAGTCGAGCCCCCAGTCCAACTCCAGGTAGTAGAGCTCGTAGTCGAACAGCTCAAGGAAGACATAGTCGATCCGGTTGTCGTTGTGGCTGGCAAACAGGAGGGTGAAGGAGATGAAGAGCTGGTGGAAGACGAAGAGCTCGACCTGGAGGTGCTGGTGCTTGTAGTCAACCCCGTGGTCACGGCAGAGGAACAAGTCGACCCAGTTGTCGTGGAAGTAGAACATGACGGTGAGGTCCCAGAATTCCACGAGGACGACGAAGAACCAGAGGTCGCTTCACGCAGAGCTTTATCCCTGCGGTACTGTTCAAGCCAAGCTGGGCGCCATCGTCCTTGTAGCCACTGGCGGCACCTCTCCTCTCTTTTCGCCTTTCGCACCGAACCTTGGCCTCCAGTATGGAATCTCAACTCCTGTGGCGTCCTCTCACGTGGGATCCACTCACCATTCCTGTAGAACCCAGTGGCATAGGTGCTGCCACCCGCCTGGTCCGCTTCATCCATTGTTCTCGTCTGAGAGGGCAGAGGAGCATCAGCATCATGCTCATCGATGGTTGTAAGCTCACCCGACAGAAGAGGTCTCCCTTCAGGAAGAGGCACTTCCTCAATGCCAGTGTCGCCCCAAGAGGAGGAGGATGATGTTGCACCTTCAGGTGGGAAGTCGTCCCAGCTGCATGGCCACAGGTTGGTTGGATCCCAAGTGTGCTGTCTGCTCGGCGGATTCTTGAGGGACCCATCGCGATTGTGCCAGCGGTCACGACCACGTTTCCATTCTCCGTTTCGCCGAATCCAGCCTTCCTCCTCGTCGACTGTAGACTCTTGTTCCTCCCAGTCAACCGGAGTGGCCACAGTTGCTTGACTGTCCCCAGGTGGTGCGAGGGCGTCTTCTCCATGAGCAGCACGTGGTTCAGGATCTTCCACCCTCCGCAGGTAGCGCTCAACATAGTCTTCGTAGTCGAGGAGGTCGTCAACTGAAAGGGCCGGTCCTGCCACCTGTCCTGCAACATTCATCCCATGTTCCTCACTCTGGTGTGGCACGGTATCAGGCGCCAAAGAGGAGGACAGCGAAGTAGCAGGAAGGGCAGTTGGTTCGGGAGGAGCTGGTAGATTATCCGCGTCCAGTTGCGTGCTCCCCCATTCGCTCTCCCATTGGGCTTGTGAAGTCAACGTCGTCTCTCCCCAGGTTGTGTGGTAGAGGTGCTCGTTGAACTCGTCGTCATAGTCGCCGGGTTGTGCTGCCACTGCCAAGATCACCTCATCATCCCCATGCCACCAGCGAAGAAAGTTCACCGCCAGGAGCACGAGCACCATGAAAGCGAGGCGTCCACGGAAGAGGGCCATGATGCAGCGGCTCGCACAAGACGTGTGAAGTTGCAAACAAGGAAAAGATGAATCTGAGGCAAAGTCTTGAAGTTGCGAGTTCAAGTAGTCATGCATCGAGTAGAACAAAAGCGACACGTAGGAGCCGAGATGCTGCGAGGATGCCAGTGATCGACTCAGGTCTCTGCAGACTCATCACAACAACCGCCAACAGCTCGCATCGCATCTACACAGACTCCAAAGCTCCTAGTACTTGAGAGAGAGCTGGCGTCCTCTCGTCCAACGTACATCCCAATCTGCCAAGTAAGACGCGAGCAGGTTTTTCCATTGAGGACGATCCAAGGCAGCGAGTGCCCAGTTAAGGCCAAGGCTGGTGCCAAGCTGTCGTTCCGTATTAGAGGCATAGAATTGCTTAGGGTGCCGTTTCCCCACCGAGTCTGAGAGGGACTGCTCATGTCGCCACCATTTCAGGCATCGCCATTGGACAACCACCATGGGAAGACAAGGATGGACATCAGCAACCCCGACCCCAACATCCTCAACCCTGCGACTCCAATGACCGTGAAGTGAAAACTGTAGTCGCAAAGCACATGTGCTCCATCTCTCGATCTTTTCAGTCACAAGGTATGCTCTCAGGAGGGCTTGGGGTTTGGGGTTTTGAATATGGTGTTGACCGGACGACCGGAACGTAACCAGCCCCCCCCGGTTCGCCCGGTCGCCCGTTCGGCCCGGTCACCCAGTCAGTCCGGTCACCCCACACCGACACCCACCCACCTGATCGAGTACCGGACCCACCGGGTGAACGGGTAACCGACCGACCTAACTGCCGGACCGACCTGACCGACCGGAATGGGTAACCGGACCGACCTGACCGGCGACCGGAACGCGACTACCGGGTGACTGGAAAGTGACCGGACCTTCTTGACTACATGACCGGACCCGGACCGACCGGACCGACCTGACTGGGTGGCCGGACCCACCTGACCGGTTGAACCGCCGAACCAGACCTGACCGGGTGGCCTGACCGGGCAACCGGCCCGACCCGACCAGGTGACCGGACTGACCAGTCCTGCATGGAACGCTCCACTCTGAGCATCTTTGCCACCGCAGGCTCATTCCTGCTGCGCGCACCGCTCCTGGCTCTGTGGTCCTAGGCCATCTCAGCCTTGAGCAGCTCAATGCGCCGCCGCTTCCTGCCGTCGGCATCATCACTCGACATCGCAGTTGCTGAGCCAGGAAGCTATTGTGCGCCCTGTGCTGTTGTCTGGCAGCATGTCAGCTCATCGCCTGGCAGAATGCGCTGCCGTTTGTGATGCAATCGCCACTGCATGTCAGCTCATCGCTACTCAAAGATGCGGCCTTGCAACTCCAGCTGGCACCTACTCTGTCCTCTGGCGCTTTGCCTCCTGGCCAGGCTCCTCGGTAGGCTCCTTGGTAGTCTTGTCTGCAGCATCCTCGGCGCCATCGTCGCTGCTGTCAAAGTTCGGCCTGTTGTCAAAGTCGGCTGTGACGCTGGCTTGCGACATGCGGATGCCTGCCAGGTAGGCGGCCATCGGATCACCTGTGGCGCCGCCGCCGCCGCTGTAGGTGTACTCGTAGTCGGTGCGCACATCATCAGGTCCGTCTGACCTGGCTCTGCTGCTCACTCTGTTGACGAAGCTGGCCAGCAGCTCCTTCTCCTCATCGGTGGAGGTGTTGAGGCCTTTCAGCTTCAGCTTGTACACCTTCTCGTACTTGGAGGCGCTGTCGCCAAGGAGCTTGAGCACCTCGTTCCAACTCACGTTGGCCTGGTGGTCCTTGAACGATTCATCCTTGAGTGCAGCACAGGCCACATCGCTGGCGAAAGGTTCACGGGTAGGCAGGCCATCCTGCTTGGCAGCCTGAGTGGACCAGTAAGGCAAGGCCTTGTGTCCTAGCGCCATCACCATGTGCTTCAGCTTGAACACCGGCGTCCAGTCCGGTGACCGGGATATGGCAACATTTTCCAAAGTCATGCTCGATCCCCACTGTGACGGCGGAATGCCCTCAGCCATAAACCCCAAGCCCGATGAGCCCATTTCAAGCCTCACAGTACATCCTAAAGTTTAACCCCCTACCTCTCAACCCCGAACTTCAAACCCCAAACCCTACCCAGAACTCCACTACCACGAACACAACCCGTACCACTACCACTACAACTAAAATACATCTACTACTGCCACTGCTTCCGCTAGTTCCTGCATGCACCTGCTGTTGCTGCATTGCATGTGCTGCAAGTGTCTTCCATAGATCTATTTGTACTTGTACTTCTATTTCAAATCTCATTCTACTTTGAGCGCGTGTGCTCGTGGTCGTGCTTCTCGAGCTCATGGAGCACTACGACGGCAGCATGCTGGATGTGAGCAGATGAGTTATGTGTTGGTAAGTTTGATGCTTCGGTTCTTGTGGTTCTACGATAATTACTCTCTCAGTTCGAGCCAAGGAGAACGTGACAGCTAGGGCAGCTAGGAGCATGCACGCCGACGACACACATATAATACACTTCTACTTGTAGCAATTGAAGCCATGGCATCTTTAACAGCGCGTCTCCACACCTTCGTAACCAAGCTCTTTAGCTGGCCATGGCTACCGGCTACAAGGTCGGAAACCCAAAAAGCCAGGCAGTTGAGACACGGAGATGAGATTTCAGCAATGCATATGCATATGAGAACAAGCGGCAAGAGCCGGCGCGGTTCAGACACCCGAATCAGAGGCTGTGCGGAGGCTGAGGATGCGATTTCGGAAAAAGCCATGGCCAAAGTCAAGGCCGAAGCAAAGGGCAAGGCCAAGCCACAGGCCTGGCCGGCCTTCTGATGAGAGGGCTAAAGCCAAGACGAAGGTTCAGTGCGCCGAGGAAGCAGATGAAGCAGAGAATGGACAGAAGCCGAAGCACGGTCGGGCAGCTGGAGAGCCCAAAGCGGCCAAAGGCAAGGCAAGCCTTCTGAGGTTGCAGATGGGGCCGAGAATGAAGACAACGGCAGAAAAAGAGGCGTGGCTTGGAAGACACAATTCTGGTCTCATAAAAAAGTTCTTGTGCACTGATGTGCATGATGAGGATGTCAAGCAGCCGGGGCGTGGCGAAACAAATGCCTTCAGCCATTTCCTCGAAGGGGCGTCTTGCCCGGAAACTTGCTCGCTTCGAGTTGGCTTGGACGTCCCGCTGATGGCATAGCCGCTCCAAGCGGAGGTTCCGCTGATGCAACAAAAGCAGGACAAACAGAAACCCCCGCTTGGGCGTCATCCGCCGAGCCGCAACGGCAATACGTTTGACAAACGCAAACGCTTCCTCCGCCGCACTTGTATTGACATTGCGGTGGGCACTGTGTGTGCTTGGCCAAACTGCGGGGAGAGGTCTGCTGCCAGTAGGTCGGCAACCCGCGTGCCCTGAGCGGAAGTGAAACTTGTCGATAGTCAAATTCAAATCTCGCATGGCACGACTTAGCTTGGTGCGCTTGGCCCGCTTCCCGTGGCGAATGAAACGATACAATGTGCAGGCACAATCGTAGACGATAAATGGGAAGCAGCTGCGTACGAAACGGCGGCGAGCTTTGCTGTCCAGCCGGGACAAAACTGCATGCCTAGTTCGGGCCAGATATGCAAGCAGCTCCGCGAGAAAGAAGTACACACCAGTCGGAGATTCGTGCGTGTAGAGCAAGTTGACTGCAGCGACGATCTGACAAGGCCGCACCGCACAGAGCAATCCCCCGGAACGCCGTTGTTTGGCAGCAGTTGCCCAATGAGTGCGGCAGCTGGCTTTCTGCTCGGATGCTGTGAAAGTTACCTTGTCGCCGACCCTAGGGCAGAGCTGGCATTCCCGGACGCAACTTGGTTGAAGCAAGTGTGCATGCTGCTCTTGAAATGGAAAGGAAACGTCTTTGTTGCAGAGCGTGAAAGTGCTGCCTGCATCAGTGAGAAAAGTGCACTGTCGTGTGCGTGCGATCCTTTTGACTTGTTGGAGACGCACGGGGTAGGATCCACTAGAATAGCCAATCGCAAAGCGCAAAGCTCGAACAACGCGTCGGCAAGAACACCTTAATGCAAAGCAAATTAGTTTGGGGTTTTGAGGCTTGGGTTTTAGGGTTTATGGTTTGGGGTTTGAACTTTAGGGTGTAAAGCTTGGAATTGGCTCATCGGGCTTAGGGTTTGTGGCTGAGGGCATTTAGGGTTGGGGGCTTGGGGCTTTGGCCCACATCCTGAAAACCGGCGGGGCCTCATTGGCGACGTGCTGAGCGGGATGGTCCTCCATGCTCCCGGGAATGGTGCCCTGGCGATGTTGGCGATGTTCTGTGTTCGAGTTTTTGGGTGGCTAGTCGGGTTTAGGAGTTAGGTCTTCAGGATTTAGCATTAGGGATTGTAGAGTTGAGGGTTTGAGCTTAAGGGCTGGCATTTAGGGTCTAGGATGCCGGATTTAGGGTCAGGACTGCATTTATGGCTAGGGAATCTGAAAAGCGCAACCTCACCGACATCCGAAATGTCTGGAAGGAAGCCCGAAACTGGAACACCCAAAGCTTCGCCAAGGAACTTAGAAGTAGCAGTATAGTTTAACTCTACCTACAACCTACCTATTTTCGTAGTTTCCAAGTGAACCCTTATTTACCTCTAGATATTCTGAGGTGAGTCCTAAACCTTTTCAATGCCGAAATCCTTGAACCCGTACAAGCAACCCTAAACCTTCTCAAACTCTTCAGAACACTACAAAACCCTATAAGGCCTTAGAAATACCTACAAGAAACGCGCCTCGAGCCCTTCTGACACGCTCATGAACCCCAGAACATCCCTACAAAGCCTCAAAAAATACCTCAGAGTGACTCCGGCCTTGAAACCGACACTCACGGAGCGCCACATGAGCACCCGCCCGCGCTTCGGCCGGTAGCGCGCGCCTGAGTCGATTTCGAGGCCCGCTTCACTAAAGAGTAGGAACTCCTCTTTGGAGTTGTCTTTTAATGTGTGGTGGCCAGGAACGCGTAGGCTTTAAGAGATGGGATAAATAGTAAAAAAGGGTGCGGGCTTGCTTAGATTGAGACGCTGAGCTCAATTGCCGGATACTCGTTTTGCCATGTTTGAGAGGAAGATGTAGGGTTTTTAGGGTTGTTAACAACTCACACGGGTGGCAAGAACTCTCAACCCTATGGGTCTCACAAGGAGTCGGAATGAATAGCCATGATATGCCCTTAGTGCCCCTCGATAACTCTCGTCTTATTCCACAAAGCCCTATCCTAATTCTTCAGGCCCCAAGCATAGCATAGAAACGGGAAGAGCTTCAAACTCTCGGGCCATTGCGGGTTTGTAACAACACAACCCCGACAGGTATCCCTGCCAGGATCCGAACGACCGCAACTTACGCCCCAAATCACGAAAGGCTAATAATAAAGACACGCACACACGCCCAAGAAACCACAAACCCTACACCCGAAGTAAAAACCAAAACCCTGGGCGCCAAATCCGTCGAAATTCTCTGAGCCTCTTAAAGGCGCTCAGTTTTTGGTACCAAGCCTTGAAACCCCATAAGCAACCCCTGTTTAAACCCTAAACCCTGAACCCCCTAAACCCTAAAATGCAGAAGTCCTGGGGGCCCCTGACGCAGGTTCGGGAACTCTGTGCAACCACCGCGGAAATCCTTTCCAGCATGCAGGTTTAGGATAAATTAGGATCCCTTTTTGGGTCCTTACTATGGTACGGCACCTAATATTTAGGGTACCCCAAAAGGGACCATAATAGGATTCTCTGGGTCAGGATAATGTTTTTGTCGGGTTGTTGAGGGTTTCGGGTTGCTTTCGTTTGAGGGCCTCGTTCCGTCCAGCAACACGGTGGCACGATGCAACAGCCTGTGTGGGCGGGCAACAGATGCACATCTTGTGACAACCGAAATCCTGAACCCTAAACCCCACAGTAAAGCCGACTGCATCCATGACTCTCACTGACACCCTGCTTCTCAGCGGCACCCATCGTTAAGCTTGTGTCGTTCCGACGACTGAAGTCCTGCGCGAACCTCCACCATCAAAACCTGTAGTCAGTCACCTCCCTGGGTGTAGCCGTTAGCTCAACAGAGTTAGAGACGTCCATGAAGGATCAGTGGGTTGTGAGGGAGTGGATCGGGCTCCAGCTGGAGGGCCAAGATGTTGTACACATGACAACCCCCACAACCCCAAAACACTGCAACATTAAACTTACTATAGGGGCCTTAAGAATTAGAACAGGGTTTTGGGACGTAGGGAACCCCCAAAAATTAGTATGGGAAATCGTTTAGGCTCCTATGGTAAAGCCAGTGCCGTCCCGAACCAGCCTCATTGAGGTAAATCAGGGCCTGCCATGGGATGATTCAAGGGCTCGGGGGATTTCCCTAAACCCTAAACCCCTAAACCCTAACCCCTAAACCCTAAACCTTAAACTCTAAACCCCTAAACCCTAAACCGCAGACCCTAAACCCCCAAACTGATTTGGGATTTCGGTCGTGCAGGGTTTAGGGTTTAGGGTGGTGACTTGCCACAACCCAGACCCCAACACCGAAAGTCTTGACTGCGTCAACCCTACACCCTGAACTCAAACCGTCCAAACTTAATATCTACCGAGCCTGACAACCCTAAACCCTACACCCTGACACCCTCCAGAGCCTGACAAGCCCAGCCACTGTCGACATGCGCTTGGAACTGCGCCCCCTCGAAGTACTGCAGCAGTCGCCTCGTCTCAGGTTCTTGGCGTCGCATGTTCTTTGATAAAAGGCTTGCGGGGCTCCTTTGAGGGATTCATAATCTAGGGGCCAGAATACGGGTCTTTTGAAGGGCTCGTTTAAGGCTTCAGGCATGGGCTTGCGGCCTTAGACCCCGAAAGCCAGACTCCAAAACCGTGACCCCCTGAAACCCGGGGTGTAGGGTTAAGGGTTGTAGGGTTTAGGGGTTTAGGGTTTAGGGCTTTAGGGTTAAGGGTTGTAGGATTTAGGGGTTGTAGGGTGTAGGACTTTGGCTGGCTTTGGTGGGAGGATGTTGCCTGTCGGATTGCGAGCTCTTTGCTCAAGCTTGAGGGTCGGCTTTTTTTTTTTTAGTGTGGTGGCCCTTTCTCTCTGCAAGCAGGTCGATAGGTTTAGGGATTAGGGTCTAGGGCTGAGGTGAGGTTAGGATTCCCAACGAGCTTTCGGTTTTGTAGTTGAGGAATCCGAGGTACTAGAAGGGGGGGGTGTATGCCTCGAGGTTTGACATAGGATTTAGACGTTAGGATGTAGCCCGGCTCCGAGTCCGGCTGGAGCCCTGCCGTCCTCGATCGAGAAACTCTCGAGGCTTCGATAGTCGTCCGGCTTGGCGTCGCGACCGCCACGGTCAGGATCTGTTCTGCCCGCTGCATAACCTCTGACTCTATCTTGCACTTGATCTGCTGCTGCGATCTGTGCGGTTTTGCGGCCCACCCCAGGACCGCCCTCGCTGCCAACATTGACCACCTGCTGCGGCTTGTTTCTCCATGCGTGCCGCTCCAGGAGCGACAACTGCCCGGTCAGCACTCAGTGTCATGAAGCAAGAACATCGCGCAGAGCGTACAGCTTGGCCCCGTCACGTGGAGTCAGCAAATAAGGTGCAGGACTCTTGGGCGAATGGAGACAAGCCCGGTCTTTGCGAGGGCTTGGGGCTTAGTGGCCGGCCTCATGTTTAATAGAGCTGGGGCAGCCTGGAGGTATCTCGCAGCATACGTACATAAGGACGCAATACTGGTACTGCTCATGGGTCAATACCCTAAACCTGAAGCCCGAAACACCAAAACGCCTAGACTCCAAACTCTAAACCCTGACACCCCTAAACCCTCAAAGCTCCAAAAAACCCTAGCGCCCCAACCAGCAACCCACTTCCATGCCCGGCACTTGCAGAACCCTTGTGTTGACGATGTTTTGGGGATTTACGATTGAGGGTTTAGGGGTAACTGAAGGTTTAGGGCTCTAGGTGGTTTTGGAGGGTTTGGCACTTCGGGTTTTGTAAGTGTTTGGTGCTTCAACATCTCATCCGTTCGTGCAAATTCCATGCCTGAACATGCCCCCAAACCCTAAACCCTAAACCCTAAACCCTAATACCACATGCACAAGCCCTCATTACAGGAACCCCCTCAAACCCCCAAAACCCTAAACTGGCCCGCAACCTTATCTATACTGAACTTAGAACCCTAGCAAAAATTATAATTTTAGCTGTTTCTTAGGGATTATAATAACCAAACTAGAAGACAATTGGCCCGAAAGCATCATCAGCGAAGAGTGTGGGGCTATGTGATAGATCCAGTGTATAGGATCGTAAAGTCACAGAATCAAGAGTCATAGAGTCCATGAGTCATGAGTCATAAAGTCATAGAGTTGCAGTGACATAGCGTCATAGAGTCGTAGTGAGATAGAGTCAGTGTATAGGATCGTAAAGTCACAGAATCAAGAGTCATAGAGTCCATGGGTCATGAGTCATAAAGTCATAGAGTTGTAGTGAGATAGAGTCACGGAGTCGTGGAGTCATCTTTGTACCATACACTTGACTCGATGTAGTTCACTCTATGCCCTGTGTGTGGGAACGCTTAATCAAGATCCGCCTAGCGTGAGGGCTCAGAGCCTGACTCAACAGGTCAAGTGGCAACTTGTCAGAGGGATTGGCAAATGCATAATATATGGATACTATACATATAAATATATATATATATATATATATATATATATATATATATATATATATGGAAATGTGCCTGGCCAAGAACTGGCCACTCGTCCTCGGCATTCCTGCCTCTCAAGTTATGAAGGGTGGAACGCCTCACATCGTCCTCATTGTACCAGCGGAAACACCAGCTGCAGAAAATGGCGTTATTGCAAGAAGCTTCACTGACTTCACAATAATAGAGCTGCGAATGAGGACAGAGTCACAGGTGACTGACTGGTCTCTGATCAGCCATGGCACATCTTAAAATCTTCCTGAAGACTTGGCTTTTTTTACACACACGCACATTCTTCTCGTGGCGGCGTCGTTGCTTGCTTGCTCTTTCGCAAGACAGCGTCGAAGCAAGCAAGCAACGTCCCAAAGACCGGCATCGGAGAGGCGGCCTGAGGAGGTGCCGGGAGAGGTCATCCCAGGGATTACGGTGGTCCGGAGCCTCGTGAAAATGGCTGATTGTAGTTGCAAAGGTTCGTCGGGAGCCCCGAGCCTCCATAGCACGCATTATACCAAGCCAGGGTATAGGGGTATAGTATCATGGAAGAAGAAACATAGCGGCAGCTGACAAACATCCCCAAACGGAAGCCGCAACACTGGTCTCTGAAAGGAGTCGGGAATTAGGGTTTCGCTCTTCATCTCAAACCACAACAGGCCAGCGTATGTTACTTAGCCGATTCAACAGACTCCAGGGGAACGCCAGGGGCTTATGGGTCCTTAGGCCTAGTAGTAGGACTAATGCAGGGATCATGGTGGTCCAGAGCCTCCTCCAGAAAGATTGATTCTAGCTGCAGACATTCATCGAGAGCCCCAGGCTTCGGTGACACCCTGTGTATCAACCCAAGGTATACTATCTCAGAAGAAGAAACCCGGCGGCATCTGGCAAACATTCCCAAGCGGCAGTCACAACACGGGTCTCTCAAAGGATGATTGGGGATTTAAGATCTATCCTATACCACAAACGGGTCCACCTCGCTGAGCTGCTGCGCGATCCGTGGCGCCGGGATTCCAGCAGCGAAAGGCAGTGCAGTCATTAGGGATTTGGAAAGACACCGTTCCGAAGTGAAACACCTTACTTCACCAGGAAACCCGCCAGATGCCGCAAAGTATTTAACGTGCCACGCAATCGAGGAGCTCCTGCGTCTCGATGAGCCTTTGTCTGCTCACAGGACGTCGCGGCCAGGAGGAGAACACCGAGGCATTGGGAATCACTACGCTTCCGCCGCACCAATGTACCAATGCGAGCACTTGAAGTTGCCGTTGACGGTTCGCCCATCATAGTTCTCGCTCGGCAGCCTTCGATTGTCAATCGGCCTGAGACGCCCACGGTACCTCACAACTTCATGGTGCACTCCTGCTCCGTTGACGGATCCATGTGCTTCATAAATGCACGCTTCGTGCAATGCGTTGTCTCTTTAGCACACAAACACACACACACACATACACACATACAACTGGTTCGTGGGAGTTCGCAAGATCAAGTGAGACCACAGAAGCCTTCGATTTGACTTCGATCTATGCAGAACAACAGACCTTACACTGCATCACGAAGCATTTCGGAGTCGGGTTGGGGGTGGAGAGCCAGCGCGGGAGGAACCTGGACCTAGACCGGATTACTCTTCCCAGGCGACCCTCCCCGGCCTTCGTCGTCAGCATCGGAGAGGTGGCCTGGTGAGGTGCTGGGAGAGGTCATACACGAGTTACGGCGGTCCGGAGCCTTGTGAAAATGGCTGGTTGTAGTTGCAAAGGTTCATCGGGAGCCCCGAGCCTCCATAGCACGCACTGTACCAACCCAGGGTATAGTATCATGGAAGAAGAAACATAGCGGCAGCTGACAAACATCCCCAAACGGAAGTCGCAACACTGGTCTCTGAAAGGAGTCGGGAATTAGGGTTTCGCTCTTCATCTCAAACCACAACAGGCCAGCGTATGTTACTTAGCCGATTCAACAGACTCCAGGGGAACGCCAGGGGCTCATGGGTCCTTAGGCCTAGTAGTAGGACTAATGCAGGGATCATGGTGGTCCAGAGCCCCCTCCAGAAAGATTGATTCTAGCTGCAGACATTCATCGAGAGCCCCAGGCTTCGGTGACACCCTGTGTATCAACCCAAGGTATACTATCTCAGAAGAAGAAACCCGGCGGCATCTGGCAAACATTCCCAAGCGGCAGTCACAACACGGGTCTCTCAAAGGAGGATTGGGGATTTAAGATCTATCCTATACCACAAACGGGTCCACCTCGCTGAGCTGCTGCGCGATCCGTGGCGCCGGGATTCCAGCAGCGAAAGGCAGTGCAGTCATTAGGGATTTGGTAAAAACACCGTTCCGAAGCGAAACACCCTACTTCACTAGGAAACCCGCCAGATGCCGCAAAGTATTTAACGCGCCAAGCAATCGAGGAGCTCCCGCGTCTCGACGATGGCCAATCCCTGTGGAGACTTGCAGACGGTGCCACCCCTTGTGCTAGCGGCGCTCCACAGGAACCGTCATCCGCGCCATCGCGGCTGTCATCATGCTGATACCACCAGAGCAGGTCCAAGCCTCCAAGCGGCCACATTCTGTGGCGAGGCAGCCCAGATGACTGCAGGGCAGAACGTCAAGAGCCAGCTTCTCGTTTGGCCAGCACGACGGACTCGCGGGTTGGACAAGCCGCGCATTTGGAGTAGTGCTGCCTAGGCGAACACAACGGACTCGCAGGTTGCTTGCACAGGCCGCAGGCACCGTCCCGCCAAGACAAGCCGCGCATTTGGAGCGGTGCTGGCTAAGCTCGTCTGAAGGGTTGCAAAGTGTGCCATCTCAATGGCGACTTCTCAAGAGGAAGAACGGATCATTCAAGAATCCAAACAGTAGCAGTGGGCAACGAAGCTAAACCGGGACACCGGGTTGAGCAGAACCCCGAAGACCTTGCGGCCACACAACGGAAATTCTGAACTTGAACCAACCAAGCCCAGCAGTCCGCAGTGGGAAACTCAGGAAATGAAGAGGTTTCTGTTAGACCGACCCTCCCAGCCTCGAGGAATC